AGTTTGATCATGTCCAAGCTCTTGGAGGAAGTTGTAAATGAAAGGTAGTGTATTGTTACATGGTGTGAAAGGACGCCATTTTGGTGTGGTTGAGCCTGATAGTTCATCCAAACCAAGAGTAATTCGACCAGCTTGATTCATGTTGTTCTGAATATGTTTGAATAACGACTTTTGTGTATGTGCTTTAAGCATTGTCCCCGCCGCAGTACCTGTGGTAGAAATATACATTAAAACATTAATATTATATGCACTGAAATCAAAAAAATGCAGACCCACCTGAGCGAGAGTTTTTGGGAGTTTGAACAAGGTTACCAATGTTTCTTTCCCCAGCCCACGCAGCAGTATATGGAGCCGGCCCAAATCGCCAAATTTGATCAGGAAGGTGTTGAGCGTAATGCAAGTTGGGCTTGGATTTGATATTGGGCCAAGCTTCTTGGAGATGCTCTCGATAATGCCTTAATAATATCCTGAGTGTTTTAATATCTTGTTCATTGATAATCCTTAAAGTCACAATATTCACAATCTGAGTAACTAGGTTGATCGCAGTGTAGATATTGGCCGCATCAGATTTTTTTTTGGCGTTGTATTGATACGGTAGAATTGATATAACCATATACAAGCTGTATAAGACATGCCATTCCGCGGCCTTAGGTGTACCACAGCTAGCAGTTCCAAAGGTATGCGGAAGGTGGGTTAGCCAAGACGGAATATTGGTATTTTGAATCGTATACCAAATTATCTGCAGTTCGTGTGGAGTAATGGCGGGGCCATGAGTGGCAATAATTGTGCTATGACTGGCATTCGAGGTGTCAGATCGGCTTTGTGTTTGGGAAGGCTCATAACTTTGTTCATCAGATATTTGGCTGGTGGTATCTTTTGCTGCTCGATTGTAATGAGTTCGTGAACTAGAGTTGTAACTGCTTGAAGTGTGATTGTCTGAAGTGGATGGAGTCCCAAATGAGGAAGCATACGAAGTAGGTGCAGGAGAGGTTATCTGGGGAGCCAAAAAACAAACGAGTTCTGCAGAAGTTGATTGATGGTCACCTGAAAGAGCGAGTTTCTTTTGCTGTTCATCGAGGGTTTTTGCTGCCAAGAGGAATACGGAGATATGTACCTGAAAGGTCTTTCAATATGCCTAACATGATGCAGTGCATAAT